GATGTCTACGAATGGAAAGTCTTGCCTTTCGGGATGACCTGCAGCCCCTGTTATGCTACCTTTGCGCTGCAGATGCACATTCGCTGCCAGCAGTTCGGAAATGAGGAAGTGTTGCAGTCCATAGAGCGAAGCTTCTACGTGGACAACTGCCTACTGAGCCTTCCCACTGCTGAGGAAGCCAAGCGACCAATTGACAAGATTGACAACTAATTGACTCTCTTAGCCTCTGGGGGCTTCGAGATCAGGCAGTGGGCAACGAATGTCCCCTCCGTTGTCCAGCACCTGCCAACTAATGCTCGTTCAGAGAACATTGAACTGTGGTTACAGCAAAATCATTCAGACCCGCCGGAGCCAGCTCTTGGCTTAATGTGGCACTGCCTAGAAGACATCCTAGGCTACAGGCATCGTGCACTAGCACGAGGAAGGAGTTGCCTGATCTCTGTATGCTCAAGCTTCCTAGGTGCTATCTTCCTGCTGACTTTGATGAAATCAAGATTAAGCCTACACGTGTTTGGCGACGCATCCGAGGTTGCTTACCGTGGCTTATCTCTGTGCCGAGCAGCACAGTAGGATCCAGACTGCCTTCGTTATGGCTCGCTCTAGGGTAGCCCCCAAGCGGCAGCTGTCGATGCCATGCCTCGAGCTGTGTGCAGCATTGACTAGTGCTCAGCTTGCACAGTTCCTAAGACAGGAGCTGACCATTGCCATAGAGACAGTGATATTATGGAATGACTCGACTACAGTGCTCCCCTGCATCCAGTCTGAGTCCTGTAGTTACAAGGTGTTCGTCGGGACGAGGGTGGCGGAAATACCGCCTGAGCTCCACTCTTGGTGGTACGTTGATTCCTCAAATAACCCGGCAGACGATATTACCAGAGGGAGGACGCTCATGGAGCTGGCAAACTCTGACATGTGGAGTCGAGGCCCAGAATTCCTCTGCGACCCACCAGACCGATGGCCAGCCAAGCCCCTTGTAGAGGCCCGAGAGGATACCTCAGAGACAAGGAAATCCGTCTTCTGTGGATTAGTTGCAGACCATCAAAATCCAGACATGCTTGATGCATCTCAGTATGCATCTTGGAGTGCCTTGGTCTACGCGACCTACTGGTCCCTCCATGGGGCGGCCGCCCAAGATACGAGTAAAGCATCCTTAGATTACAGGCTTGCGGATGCGCTCATCTTGAGTCAATGTCAGGAGGATTCCTTCCCAGAGGAGTTCAAGGCATTAAAATCAGGGAACCAGGTGCCCCATTTTACAAGTATCTTTTTGAATTTGACATGACTTGCCTTAACTGAGGAGATCAAGGGAAGATTTTCAGCGATTAACAGATTAAATTTACCTCTCTTCCTCACGCAAAGCTATTGCATGCCTTCAGAGCACTTGGAATGTAGTACATGCATCATGAATCATTGGACAACTCACTACTCACATGAATCATTGGATAGATTCACTGGCTATATATACTACTGTTCACTACAGTTTTTAAATTATAATTTTCAGCAAGAATGCATTAAATTGATTAAGCATGAAAGAGACTTTTACATTTGTACAAAATATCGAAAAGATTCTGTTCTTTTGAATGTACTATTAATCAAATAATCTTG